ATTATAGGAATATAATCCTCTAGTGGATACTCTTGCGCTTTGGATAGTTGCTATTACTGCTGGAGAAAGGCCTTTGGCTAATAAGCTGGACCTTTCAGCAGGTAAGCATGCAGCTTCCATAGTTCTGGGTGTGGGTGAAAAATCTCCCCCTCTGCCTGAGAGAGGAGATCTTGTCGAACCGGAAGTTGCCAGGGTTGAGCTGCTAGCAAGCTGATTATCTCGGCGTACCAAGACTTCACTGGCCAGCGGGGCGCCACTACAATCAAAGACAGGCTCTGTCCGCGCATCCTCTCTAGTACAGGTGGTATCATTTCCACTGGGGAAACGCATACAGAAGTACATCGGACCAAGGGTGAGCTAGGGTATCCACTCCCAGAGGAGCGCTCTGCTCTGTCATGGAAAAGAACAGAGGACAGTGTGTGTTTGCTCTGGAGGCAAACAGATCTACTGTCGCTTTGCCAAACAAAACCCAAATCTGGGCCACCACAATGGGATGCAGCCTCCACTCCTTTGCTAGAGGTCCACCCCTGGAGAGGAGGTCTGGACCTAGGTTCAGTCTCCCCGGAACATGAATGGCTGTGATAGACAGAAAATGAACACTGCTCCACTGTAAAAGATTGTGAGACAGGTTCAGCAGGGGAAGGGACCGAGTCCCCCCTTGTCTGTTTATATAAGAGACCACTGCTGTGTTGTCCGTTCTGATTAGAAGATGATGGTTCTCCAGAACTGGACAAAAAATGTTTCAGTGCTAACAGGACTGCTAACAATTCTAGGCAGTTTATGTGGAGCCTGGACTGTTGTGGAGTCCAGGTTCCCCTCACCGCCGCGCCATCACACAGGGCTCCCCAACCTTTCAGGGAGGCGTCTGTGGACACCACTTTGTGAAACGACACCCTCCCTATTGGAGAACCCTGATACAGGAGGCCGGGTTCCCTCCAGGGGCTGAGAGCCGTCATGCAGGAAGCAGTTATTGTTAGCTTTTTGTGTCTGTGTCGAGACGGACACAGCCTGTGGGACTGAGACCAACGCTGAAAACGGCACATTTTTAACAGCCCGGGTGGTACTACTGAAATCATGGAAGCCATCATTCCCAGTAACTGTAGTACGGTTTTGAAGCTCAGTTTGCGTCCCAGTTGAAACTGAGCTAAGCAGCGGTGAAACGCGGCCACTCTGTTTTCTGAGAGGCGAGCCCTGCTTGACAAGGAGCAGATTTCTAGTCCGAGGAACAAAAACTGCTGACTTGGTGTTAATAGACTTTTCTGGGTGTTTACTAAAAACCCTAAAGCCTGAATGTGTGACAGAACCTGAGACAGCTGATCTAATGTTTGCTCCTTGGAGCTTGTGATCAGAGCTCAGTTGTCTAAATATGCTAACAGACGGACCCCCCTTTCCCTGAGGAGGGTCAACGCAGCTTCTACGCACTTTGAAAAGGTGCGAGGAGCTAGCGATAGCACCAGGTACTCGTAGGCTACACCCTCGAAGGCAAACCTGAGATATTTGCTGTGTGTGTGTGTGAGGTGGATGGCTGTGTGAAAATAGGCGTCTGTTAAATCGATGGTCGCAAACCAATCGCCCAGGCTGATCGAGTGAATTAGCTGTTTGAGCGTTWACATTTTGAACCTGTATGTTTGAAGGTACCGGTTTAACACTCTCAGATCCAAAATAGGCCGCAGGCCGCCCCCTATCTTCGGAACAAGAAAATAACGGCTGTAC